ATATCTTATTTTCCTTGTTTTGATCTTAATGAAATGTGTCAATAGTCATTAGGTGATATAATAAACCGTGTGAGTAGCACCTGTCTGGCAACACCTAACACATGTCTTCTCTCGTATTATGTTGATTTACCCAACATAAAAAATATATAAGAAAGCTAATTTATTTATGACAAAGTATTATGCCATGTTATAAATTACCTGCTAATTTATAGCCTCTTAATTCGTGATTTACCAAAAGGAATTGAAAAATAAGAGGTGCCAACAGTTACCTAGCGTTAACAACATTACAAAAAGTTTCGTTGTTTTTGTCAGAATGTTTAGCATAATTCTTTAACGATAGTTTTCTGTGTAGTTGTATATATATCTAAATATATGTATATATATATGTGTGTGCGTGTGTGTGTGTGTGTGTGTGTATATATATATATATATATATATATATATATATATATATATATGTATGTATGTATGTATATTTAAATTTATATCTTTGTATACCAAGAAGACGTATACCACGAAGAAACTCTGCAGTATTATAAAGGCTAACAATAATATTGATAAAATTATGCCTTTCACCTCTGTGCATAGTACTTAGAAGGACATACAGGAATCCTCAAAGCCACTTGATGGAGCAACAGAAATGGTGAAGGTTTCTCGAATATCATACCAGAACCTCATCCCGAATGGAAAAGCGAGCTTGCTCAAGGACTAATTGCACTGACTGGGAGGATTTCACAAAAAAATACATAATCACCTAAATAATAGAAACTTCAGCACTGTATTACTCATTGTTTTCTGTGTCTCGATTTTCCTGTGATAAAGGTGCTGTAGCTTTTTTTCTTCTTTTTTCTTTTCTTTTTTTTTTTTTTTTGCTTTTTTGAGCTTCTAGTCTCATGTTATGGAATGGTTTTACTAGTCTAGGTTTTCTTATGTTATTGTACCTGAGATCAGGGGTGATAGTTTTATATTGGTCCTAGTCTTTACGGTTCTAGATTTCTTTTAGCATTTATGTATGTGAACATCATATGCTTTTGTACAGTTACAATATTTTTTTTATACAAATGGTTAGATATAGTCTGAATATACTTTTTTTATTTATTTAAACTTTCTTAATAATAAATAGATTTTAGAATACATATTCAATAGTAAAAAACACTTTGACATGAAAGCAAATATGTTAAAGTAAAACAAAGAGAGCACATGTAGAAATGTTATTTAAATCATAAAACCATTTGAATGCATAAGAATACAAACAAACAAATACTAAGATAATATGCAATGGGAACTAAGTAAATATGCTATTTAGAAGAACCTAACCTGACATGGCATACACATACATATTAAAGCCGATTTCAGTGTAAATTAGCCATCCTCTCTTGCCAAGAAACGGTGCCCATCTTTACAAAATAGTCCTTGAAAGTGTCTCTTACCCGTTTAGCTTCATGTGAGTGGCCACGTGCTGTTGGCTGGAGGTTTTCCATGGCATTTGGTACTGCCTCCAAATCACCTGGATTCAAAATATCTTTTTCTTGGTCTTCCCTCATGCGCATTTCAGGTCGGACAGGCTTCCCACTCTTGACTCGCAGGAAATTGTGCAGCACTACAGTTGCAAAAATTATGTTTTTTACAAATTCTGGCTGCGAGGCAATTGGTTGTAGCAACACTCGGAATTTAGAGGCAAAAATGCCAAAAGCATTTTCAAAAACCCGTCGTGCCCTTGACAACCTATAATTGAATATTCTTTGCTCATTGGTAATATTCCTACCCGGGTAAGCTTCGTTAAATAACACTTTAGAGGAATGTATCATCACATAAGGCACTCTGACATTAGTATAGGACAATGACTCGTTTTCAGGAGCCTGTAGTTGCTGCTTCTCAATGCAGTCTCTCAGAGTACATTTATCCCACACCCCAGCATCACTAGCACGTCCCTTGGCTCCAATGTCGACATACAAGAATTTATAATTGACATCCACCAAGGCTAACATTAAGATGGATTTTGTAATCAAAGTACACTGTCCCCGAGTTGGTAGGCTTTATCACTAGCACTCTTTTGCCATCCAAAGTCCCCAAACAATAGGAGAAATTCCACATATCATGGAAGGTAGAAGTTACAGTTTGCCATTCAACTGATGTCGTTGGTAGTTTGATGTATGTTTCTGTTAATATAGTATAAATAGCTTTGCAGACTTCAGGAATTATTGCTGATATAAAGTTGTGGTTGATTCTGTACGACCATGCTAATGATTGCCGTGACTGCCCTATAGAATAAAGAAAAACAAACAATATGATGATATTACATTGATAACAATATGCCTGAATATTATGTTTAGCATTGAGGACTTAGCCCTAGATCTACATCAAATTACCTTATTATCATTTTCAGCATGAGAGATTAAAACCATTAAATTGCAGGCCTGCTAGCTTACTATGATTATCCACTGAAAATCCTATAGCATGATTTTGGAAGTAGGCAGTAGCACTAGTCAAGAATTTTTAATTATCATTTTTAGCTCACCTGTGGCCAGATAGAAGAGTATTACAGACAATCGCTGATCGGGTGGAACTGCTTGAATTTAATATCTTCTTTCTTGATAAGTGGAGCTACCAGACTGAGGAGTTCTGAGAAGTTTCCCATCGACATTCGATGGTATGCATAAAATCCACGACTGTCTTCGATGCGTTCATGTAAGAGTTTATTGTATACACTATGGTCTTTTCTATCCATCCACTCCCTCACCCACAACCTTTTTGGCTTTTTCTGTTTCTTCTGTAGTTTCAGGGTTATGGCCATAACATCCGAAAAGTAGCCACTGGAAAGCGCTATTGCTTACTCTTATGAACGCTGAATTGAGACGATGTTCTCTGCGAAGGGACACTGAATGTAGTGTGACCAATCCCTCTCTGTAGCTGACCAGACTTCAGCGATCCTATTTAGCGACTAGTGTGATCTTCGCTTAAGTAACCATGCAAGATATTCTACCCAGCAAACATTAGTTTAACTAACAATTAAAATTTTATCCAAACAAAACTTTCATCACTGTATTTTACTAAATTCAAATACATTTTATGATACAAAGCGTGTTTTGATAATACGGTTATCCTGTTATTTGATCTGACTCTTAGCGTTGGGTCCATGATGTGGTCCATTTTCAATTATATATATATGCAAGTGTGTGTACGTTTATATAAGTATATATGTGTGTGTGTGTGTATGTGTTGAAATTTATATTTATTCGACATTTAAAGGTGGATTAGTTATAACTGTAAAGATGTAGGGACCACATAGAATTGCCAGACGCCACCGACATCTTTGTTGACGTTTTTTAAATCATTTAGTGTAATAGGTAATACAGTAAGTTATGGTAATTATCTGCAAATGGTTTATTTACTGGTGTTCACAATTCAAGAGGACAGAGAAAGGTTTAGGATTTTTTTTTTTTTTTTTTTTTTTTTTTTTTTTTTTTTTTTTTTTTGGCTTGTTTGTGGATAAAGCAAGGAATGAATTGTGAAAGGAACAATAGATGAAGGTAAAATATGGGAAAGGAAAATCGTACAAGTGAAGGTCTAATTACTTAATTACTTAAAATATTAGGGAGTTTGGACTTTAATTGTTTTAGTAAAAGAATATTCTTGTCATTTTCTAACATATAATATTGCTAATATCAAATCCAGTTTAATATGCCACGCATATCATTTTTAGATTATACAATATAGAATAAATCAAATTGGTTAAAACTGTTTTTATGAGTTTTTTTATGAGGTTTTCTCAGCTTCCCTCAACCCCGTGGCAGTGATATCATGATAACATTTTCATTATTTGTATTAGAACTGATCTTGACAAACTAGTATCAGTAATTTAGAAGAATATGGTTTATGTTGTATATGATACGACATATATTCGTGTGTGTGTGTGTGTGTATGTGTTTGTTATTGTCTACCTTTCTAAATATCATTAACTTTCTATTTATCTGTCTGCTCATGCATGTGTATATCACAGTCTTTCTCTCTACCTATCTCTCTACTTATCTCTCTCTCTTTCTCTCTCTCTCTCTCTCTCTCTCTCTCTCTCAGATATATGATTACTTTTTTCTCCTTTTCCAATTTAACCTGAAGGTTCGTGACATATGAAATTACCAGGTAAATGTCAGGTTAATTAACTGATGCTTCAGCCAATCAAGTTGCCACAAAAAGGTTTTCGAAAATGTTTTTGACACAAAACACCTACATCTACAACCAACCAAACGAGCGAATAAATAAAAATCCAAAAGAAATATTTATATATATATATATATATATATATATATATATATATATATATATATAAATATATATATATATATATATATATATATATATATATATATGTGTGTGTGTGTGTGTGTGTGTGTGTGTGTGTGTGTATGTGTGTGTGTGTGTGTGTGTGTGTATGTGTGTGTATGTGTGTGTATTATGTATCTATGCACACACACACACACACAAACAGACCGTGCGAAACACACATGTACTTTACATGCATGTGGCCCCATTCACTCACCCAAATGAACTTCTCTCATACAGATGGTGAGCCTCAATCTACCTCACTACCCGTTCTCTCTATGCATTTGTTTATTCATGGTTTTCTTCTTCTGTTCTATTTTTCCCCCTCCTTATCTTCCTTTCGTGCGTTTGCTTATAGTTTCTCTCTTGTTTCTCTTTCTCTCTATCTATCTCTCTGTCTATCTATCTTTTCATTCTATATCTATCTATCTATCTCCATTAATCTCTCTCTCTTCATTTTTCTCTCTGTCTTTCTATCTTTTCATTCTATATCTATCTATTTATCTCCATCGTTCTCTCTCTCATCTCTCTCTCTCTCTCTCTCTCTCTCTCTCTCTCTCTCTCTCTCTTTCCATTCCTCTCTCTCTCTCTCTCCATCTCTCCATCTCTCTCCATCTCTCTCTCTCACTCTCTTTCTCTCTCTCTCTCTCTCTCTCTCTCTCTCTCTCTCTCTCTCTCTCTCTCTCTCTCTCTCCATTTCTCTCTCTCTCTCTCCATCTCTCTCTCTCTCTCTCACTCTCACTCACATTCTCTCTCTATATAAGATTCTCTCTCTCTCTTTCTCCCTTTTCCCATTCCCATCTCCTCTCCTCATCTCCTCTCTCCCCCTCCCGAGCCATTTCCTAATTGTCCCTTCACTCTCTCATTCTTTCACAAACCCTTGGCACTGCACTCTTCAGATATCATATTTCTATTTCCTCTTCCTCTCCCCCTCTTCCAACATTTCATTCTTCCTCTCCTCCTTCTTCTCTGACTCCTTTTCTCTCTGGCACTCATTTCTTTTCCCTCTTATTCTTATTCGCTACCTTTCCTTCTCCTTCTTTCTCACATTGTCTCCCTCTATCCCCATCAGCTACACCCTCCCATACTTTCTCCCCCTCCTCCTCCCATTCCTCTCATCCACTCCTTCCTCTTCCCCATTCTTTCATTCGCCTCCCTCTCTCTCCCTTCCCATCCTCTCATCCCTTCTCATCCCCTTCCCTTCCCTGTCACCCCTTCCTTTCCCCCAGCCTCTTCCTCTTCCTCATCCTCATCCTCATCCTCCCGTTCCTCTCCCTTTCCTTCTCCTCCTTTTCTTTCCCTTCCTGTCACCCTTCCCTTCCTCTCCCGTTCCTTCTTCTCCTCCTCCTCCTTCTCCT